GTGAGTGTGCAGGGCTGTGAGTGTGCAGGGGTGAGTGCCTGACACCTCCAGCAGGAGATACGGCAGGACTGTATCAGGGCTGCTCAGCGTTCCCAGGGGTGAGAGGCCCCGTGCATCCTAAGCTGCGTGAGATGTCTGTGCGCTGACTGCATTCTCAGTTTCTTGTCCACCTCTTCACTAGCAAGAGTCCTCCCTGCACATGGTCAGGTGTCCGTGGTGCCCAGGGCTTTGTCCTCCCCTGGGGATGAGGGTCAGGTGCCATGGCGTCCTGGGCAGGTGCTTCCTTTCTGCACAAGTGTTGGGTGACCATGATGCCCTGGCAGTGCCTTCCCTGGGGTGCCTCTTTTCTGCCCTGTGGGAAGAGCAGGGGAGGTTTAGTTGGTCTCGGCACATCATTCTCTCAGGATGAGCTGTGCGGCCAGTGCTCCAGAGTGAAAGTGTCTCCCCCACCCTCACCTCCATTCCATCAAAGCCGGACACTTGGTGTGGCGGCAGCAAGGTGGGTGTTTGCGGTTCTCTTGGGCTGGGGGTTGGGGTGGACGGGGAGAGGACAGATGTTGGTCAAAGGGGATGTAGTTTCTGCTGGATGGGAGGAGTCGGTCCTTTCCATCATGGCAACTGTAGTTAATAATAACGTCTGTTTCAAAACTGCTATGAGATGAGATTTTAAATGTTCTCACCACAAAGAAACGATGTGTGTGAGGTGATGGATATGCCACTTACCTGTTTTAATCCCCCCACCATATGGACAGTAATCATAACTTCACATTGCACCCCAGGAACTGAATCCCCCCACATTATAGACAGGAATCGTAACTTCACATTTCACCCCAGAATTTAACACCCCACAATATGGACAGGAATCATAACTTCACATTGCACCCCAGAATTTAATCCCCCCACAATATGGACAGAAATCATAACTTCACATTGCACCCCAGAATTTAATCCTCCTACAATATAGACAGGAACCGTAACTTCACATTACACCCCAGAATTTAATCTCCCCACAATATGGACAAGAACCATAACTTCACATTGCACCCCAGGAATCTGCACACTTTTTTTTTGTCAATTAAAAATAGAGACAAGGAGAGATGGGAGAGCAGTAGACACTCACGGAACTGTGGGCTCTTGCCTCCAGGTAAAATAAACTGCAAAAACGATTCCCAGGCAGCGTTCCCTCTTTCATAGGCCTTGGTTACAGGAAGCCAGATTTAGGAAATCTGTCTGGATGACATGCACACGAATGGGCACGTACAGGAGAAACCACGGCAATGTAATTACAATAGTCAGGGAAAAGTAGCCGGAAGAAGCTGCAGTGTACTCTTGTAACACCAAATTCACTCGGTTTTAAAAAAATGTTTGGTGGGGGCGAGGGTAGGGACAGCAGGAGGTGGGGGGATAGAGGAGGGATAGCATTGAGAGAAATACCTAATGTAGATGGCAGGGTGATGGATGCAGCAAACCACCATGGCACACATACACCTATGTAACAAACCTGCATGTTCTGCACATGTACCCCAGAACTTAAAGTATAAAAAAAAGGCCATAAAAAATGAAAGTATAATATTGGCTGATAAAACATTGGCTAGTCTTTTCCTTGCCCCCATTCGTGTGAGGTTAATAAAGCATATATGTATTCTGTATTAAAAAAATGTTCACCGTGTAGGTGATTGAAAAGAAAATGTATTCTCTTTTTAAGGTAAAAATTTGGACCCTTATCACGCATACGCCCCATGTGCTCTTCAAATCAACATCATTATATATATATACATATATATACATGTATACATATATACATATATGTGTGTATACACGTGTATACATCACCTACATAAATATTTTTACACACACATATATGAATACATGTGTATATATACATGTGTGTATATACACACATGTACATATATGTATACATGTATATATGTGTATATATATACATCTGTGTGTATATATACACACATATACACACATATATATGTGTACATATATATGTGTGTGTATATATATATATACACACACACACATATATGTACACATATATATGCATACACACACATATACGTGTGTGTGTGTGTGTATAGATAGATAGATAGATAGACAGATAGATAGATATACAGTTTTGCTAATCTGAACCAGCACAGGCTGAGGCTGTCAAAAGGGACAGGTTTTGGTTGTTGGGTTTCTGGGGTGAAGCTGCATTCTTCAGAGTGTAGCTCTTGGCTGCCATCTTGGCCATTATTAAGCACTGTGAACTTTACCCTCAAGCCGTGACAATATCTGTCCCCTGAATGCTTCCTCCAACACACTGTTACTCCTGTGACATGTGTTAAGTGCTCCGATAATGCTGAAAACAGCTCATGATGTGAAAAGGTAGGAACAGCTCTGAAGTAAAAGGCTGATGGCCAACTCCCTTCACAGTGGCGCCCAGTACCCATTTCTGCACACTGTTGCCTGTGCACTTGCACACACACTCACACACACACACAGCATGCGTATGGGTGACGAGGGGCTTGTTGCGTGTGAGTGGGAAACGCATATGCACATCTGCATCCATATCATGCCCAGGTATCTGCAAATTGCTTTTCCTGGTGAGAATATTCCTTGGAGTTTGTTCAACGCACGTGTCTGTGTGAATGATTGAAGGCATTTCTTTCTTTTTTTTTTTTTGAGACAGAGTCTCCCTCTTTTACCAGGCTGGAGTACAGTGGCGCAATCTTGGCTCACGGCAGCCTCCGCCTCCTGGGTTCAAGAGATTCTTCTCCCTCAGCCTCCCAAGTAGCTGGGACTACAGGCATCTGTCACCACACCTGGCTAATTTTTGTATTTTTAGTAGAGATGGGGTTTCAACATATTAGCCAGGCTGGTCTCGAACTCCTGACTTTGTGATCCGCCCACTTCAGCCTCCCAAAGTGCTGGATTATAGGCGTGAGCCACAGCACCTGGCCTGATTGAAGGTATTTGTAACCCATTTTAAAGATGGCTACATAGGACCGGACAGACGTTGTGCTGATGTCAGTTTGACCACATCCATTGTTTCCATCCTTTGGGCTGTCTTGTGTATTTTACTTTTTGTATAACATGGTGACATTGAGAATTGGTACCCAAAACCTTCTGTTTGGTTTACATTAAATGTGTAGGTTAATTTGTGTACCTTCAGAGTGTGAAGTTTTTCTACTGAGGAAAACGGGGTCGTTCATATTTATTCGGGTTTTCTTCTCTTCGCACGCTTTCTAGTTTATACATAATAATAATGCACTCTTATGATCTCTCAGTATATGTAAAGCACCTGTCAAAGAACATGGTGTGGGTCCTTTATTTAAATCTTTACAACACCCTGTGAGGTAAGAGTGGCATCTTTGTGAATGATTTGAGATGCTGGCTCTTAGGGGCTCTGTCCTCGCCCACCAGCGAGGGGACTAATCAGGGCAGAATGTGGATCAGACTTTTGGGACCAATGCCCGTTTTCCCAATCACTGCACAATATAGCCTTGCATGGCACAAGGGCCTTGGTGTCTAGGTTGTTTGTTGTTCCCGTGAATGGGTTTTCTCTTTAAATGACAGTGCTATGAATGAAACAGCCTCACACAAGTAACATAAGCACAAAGTCTCACTATTAAAATGCAAATACAAAATAGGAAAATAGGAACTTACTTTCAACAGCTCAGCTGCAGCCGATCCTACCTTCCTGTATCCTGCTGGCCATGTAGGCGTATTTTCTGCTAAGTAACCAGCCCAACTGCAGGGCCTTTCGGGGGTCTCACCAAGGCCAGGTGCAAATCATCAGTCTTACAGTCATCAACAAACAATGCTGATGAGAAAACTACACAGAAAAGACCTTGAAATCCAGAGCTATGCAGCAACATGACTCATTAGTACATTCCACTTCTTGACTGGGTGAGGGAAGGGCAGGTACGTCATTTGTCACTTACTTGATAGGTACAGCTGTTTAAGGAGAACTTCTTGGGCCAGTTCCAAGCCTGCTATAACAAAAACTCACAGCGTGGTGTTGGAGGGAAATGTTTAGCAGTAAATGTCCACATCCAGACAGAAGAAAGGTCTCAAGTCAATAAACTAAGCTTCCACCTTAAGAAACTAAGAAAATAGCAAATTAAACTTACTGTAAGCAATAGAAAGGAAATAATAAATATCAGAGTAGAAGTCAGTGAAATGTAACACAAAAAAAGTACAAAAAAGTCAATGAAACCAAAACCAGTTTTTTGAGAAAATCAATGAAACTAAACTTTAGGCATAATGATTAGAAAAAGAGAAGACACAGATGATCAAATAGGGACTTGAGAGGTGCCATCACTACAGATTCTACAGATGTTAAACTTCCGAGAGGGGTATATTGTTTAAAAAATTTTTTGACAATAAATTGAACAACTTACATAAAATAGATAAATTGATTGAAAGGCAGTGGAAAACTCACTGGAAAAGAAACAGAAAATTAAATTTTTAGTTAAAAACTTTCCCACAGTCTGTGTTCAGTGGCTCATGCCTGTAATCCCAGCACCATAGGAGGATGAGGCATGAGGATTACTTGAGGTCAGGAGTTCAAGACCAGCCTGGACAACATAGCAATACCTCAAAAATAAGACAAAGCAATATAAAAAGCAGCTGGATGTGGTGGTGCATGCCTGTAGTCCCAGCTACTCCGAAGGCTGAGGGAGGAGGATTGCTTGAGCCCAGGAGGTTGGGGCTGCTGTGAGCTATGATCACACCACTGTATTCCAGCCTGGGCAACAGAGTGAGACTCTGTCTCTTAAAAAAAAAAAACCTGCAAACCACAGAACAAGCAAACAAAAAAAAACTTTCCCACGAAGAAAACTCTAGGCCAATGGCATCACTATGAAATCATGCAAATCTTTAAGGAAGAAATAATGCCAATTTTATGTAAATTCTTTCAGAAAAATGAAGAGGAGGAAATATCTTCCCAACTAATTCTATGAGTCCAGCATGCCCTGATTCCAAAACTAAGCAAAGATATATGAAAAAACACCCTACAGACTGATCTTTCTTGTAAACAAAGATGTGACAATTCTTAACAAATTTTGAGAAAATTGAATCCAACACCAATATGTAACAATAACAACACATGATGACCCAATGGGGTTTGTCTCAAGAATGCAAAATTGATTTGATATTAAAAAATAAATGAATGTAATTAATTCATATGTTATTAATGTAATTAATTCACATGTTAAGATGTGTAATCATCTTATTAGAAAGCATTTAATAAATTTTAGCATGCATGTCTGACTAAAAAACTCTCAGAAAAGTAGGTATAGGAGCAAACTTCCTCAGTGTGATAAAGGGCGTTTATAAAAACCCTACAGATAACATCTGACACCATAGTAAAAGACCAAACTCCAAGGTCAGGAAACAGGCAAGAATGTCTGTTTTCACCACTTTGGTTTAACATAGAGGTTCTACCCTGTGTAATAGAGAAAGAAAAAAATAAATTTATCCTCATTGGAAAAGAAGAAAATCTGTCTCTATATATAGACCACATGACCATTTGTATGGAAAATCCTATGGAATCTAAAAAGTGCTGCTAAAATTGAGAGAAAATTGAGCACATGTGCAGGATATAAGATGAATTCAATTTCCTTGCTATTTCAAGAACTTCCTTTAGCCAGTCCTTAAGAATACATCTGGTAGCAAATATTCTTTTAGTTTTTGTTTACTTGAGAACATATCCATTTTCTCCTCATTCTTGAAGGATAGTTTCATTGGGTATCGAATTCACAATCAACAATTCTTGAATATTGAAAAATATTTGAGAAAGACTCTAGAATATGAATTGGCATCCCTGATAGTTAATGCATCATTTCTCTCTTGCTGCTCAGTGCTGTCACCTGGGCAGGGCATAGAATAGATGTGTTCAGTTTACATGTGTGGCCACACAACATGTATTCAAGCAGGTGGACCAGGTGGGTGCTGACGGGGAGGCCAAGTAGAGTGGTCTGGTGAGTGCTTGTCTAAGCAGGGACTTGCCAGATCACAGCCAAATGCAGGGATAGTGGAGTCACAGAGGGGGAGGATGGTTTGGAGAGAGGGGCTCAAATTGACATAGGGGAGGAAAAGGTATATATATTTGTTCCTATATATAAAGGTGATAAGTTTATTGTAGGAAGTTTATAAATTATAATAATAAAATGATAGCCATTGAACTCTACATTATCCAATAGCATGTGCCGCTTACAATATTGAGCAGAATGACCAGACCCCCCACATGGCTGGGTTCTCATCTCATGGCTGGGGGTCCAGATGGGGCATGGCCATGGCAGAGGTGTCTGGCAGAAATCTCCTTAAATCAGCCATGGCCAGTTATAAATTCCAGACTGATGAGCTATGATACACTCAGCCCCTACTCAAATCACTCTGCTCTTCCTGACTGTCACCCAATCCAATGCCTCCCAACCTGGTCCCTTGTTACCAATAGTGTGGAGTGTAAGAAACCACCATATGCAAAGCAAAGTCCTTAAATACCTTGAAAATAAGAATAAATAAAAACATGAATGAAACTTCCAATTTAAAATATTACTTAACAAATAAATGTCAAAGGATCTTAAGTTTTATTGCAAAGCCAACACATTTTAAATTACTGATTTGAAGCCATAGTGTATTAGTCTTTTTTCACACTGCTGTAAAGACACTAGTTGAGACTGGGAAATTTATAAAGAAAAGATGTTTGAGCGACTCACAGTCCCAAATGGCCAGGGAGGCCTCAGGAAACTTACAATCATGGCAGAAGGTGAAGGGGAAGCAAGGCACATCTTACATGGCAGCAGGTGAGAGAGAGAGTACAGGGGAACCTGCCACTTTAAACCATCAGATCTCATGATAACTCCTTCACTATCATGAGAACAGCATGAGAGAAACCACCTCCTGATCCAGTCACTCCCACCTCAACCCGCCCTCAACACATGGGAATTACAATTCCGGATGTGCTGTGGGTGGGGACACAGAGCCAAACCATATCACACGGGAACCTAAAGGAAGACTAAAGCAGGAAAACTGCCCACACCAGTAATCCTTTGTAAATTGGTAATCCCAATCTGCAAAATAAAACTATGCAATTTTACTAAGATAATGGAATCTTCTCTATAGACTGACTTTCCTCACCCTCACCATGAAATCCAAGTGACCATTTCCCATTTGTTTGAAGTCCTCAGTTAGTATTGAGACTTCCGAAGGTCAGAAATCCCTTTGCTCAGGCTGCTTGGTCTGGACGAGACATTATTAGCTAATAGACATACAGCAGCTTTTGTGTGAAAGATGTTATAAGATATTTAAGGTATTTGATTATGACTACTAAGGACTCATTGTACTATTGGAACACAGGTACTTATATGCCCTGGAAAAATTTCCATCTTGGAAGAGTATTATTTTGGGGAAAAGTGATTAGAAAACTGTTGTGGACTAGCTGCAGCACAACCTGTGGGTGTTCTAAGCCCCAGGGGTGATGAGGGAATTAAGGAAAAAAAGGCAGAGACACAGAAATAAAAATCATTAGCATGGAACCAGGGGTTCTTCACAAGATGAGGACTGTGAAGACCCTGAGCTCTCGGCCCCACACATATTTATTGCAATACACACAGAGTTCAATCATATCGCTCGAGGTGGGTCGATCATGGGGTGAGTACAATGGAACAGTTTACATCATCTATATTTAGTAGAGGGTATGTGGTTATTCTAAAAAACTAAACTAGTATTGCATAAACAATAGATAATTATTGAGGTGCAGCTGCAGGAGTGTGGGAATAGGTAAGAGCCAGCAAGTTCTAACCACGTGATGTACCTCAAAGGAGAGCCCAGTCACCCATGGAACAGGTGGGAGACCAGAAAATGCCAGTCTCATCTCAACCAGCCCAGAGGCCTCCTGCAAGACCCTTTATGAGCCTGTGAGCAGGCCCCCTCCTCCAGGCGGGAGACAGAGATCCTTTACGAGCCTGTGAGCAGGCCCCCTCCTCCAGGCGGGAGACAGAGACCCTTTAGGAGCCTGTGAGCAGGCCCCCTCCTCCAGGCCACAAGACCCTTACTGAGGTTCAGGCAGCAGGAGGTTGAGCAATGGACCAGGTGTTCCTGTCTTCGATGCCCACATGTTCCTGGGCTGTCAGCACTTTACAAGCTTTCTCACCAACCCAGCACTGTTTTACAAAGTATAAGTTGCACTCTTTGTTTAGCTAATACAATGCACACACTTCTATAAACTAAAAATCTTAACTAAGGCTAACTTATTAAACAAAAGCAGATTAACTCTTAAGTAGATATGGTGTAGACCTGCTCTCTATTATTTTGGCCTGCAGAAAACATATTGTTAATCTTTGTTTATAGTCTTTGTCTTCGAAATTTGAGATCATTGGCAGTTTTCCTCCAATTGTAATGATAATCAGCCAATTTAAGGAGGTTTTCAGTTGCAGAATTTCTATAGAGGTATCCTCTCCTGAAATCTCAGCATTCACTACTTAAAACCCATGTGTGGATGGAGAATGACATCAGCAAGATGGATGACTAGAGAAGCCTGATGTTCTTCCCCACCCTCCCCACAAGAAAGGACCAAGGCAAAGAAGAAACAGCGCAGGTTTGACTGGAGTATAGAAGGGAGTGATTCTTAGTCGGTAATCCCAACTGATCAGATGGAGTGCTGCAGAGGAGTGGGAATGCACCATGCACCTGTGGTGATCAGAGGCTCAGCGTGGAGGCACCTGGCCTTTGCAGCCTTGTCTTCCCCCTGATTGGATTGGCCTGGACACAGGAGGCACTTCCCATGTAGGGAAAAGCTAAGCAGATTCCCAACAGCACCCACTGCCACTGCAAACATCTACAGCCCTTACAACAGGAGAATTCCACAGTCTTTGCAAGCCCTCAGCCAAGTTTAGGAGTTGCTGGGAATTATCCCAGATCAGGAGCACAAGGCGTGTATTCCCCCCGCCTTCTCCCCTCCTCCCTCCCCCAGCCCCATTCACACCTGTGAGCTAAGCTGCTGCAACCCAGCGCCATCTTGAGACCAGAGCCACCTCTGGAGTGCATCCTGCCCTGAGGCCAGTAGCCACTGCCCGTCTCCAGCACTGGGGCTCCATCTCCATGATGTCCATATGTGGGGGGCTGAATGCCACAACCCTGGCAGTGCAGAGCCTAGGCCAAGGATTGGCAGTGACTCTGGCCCTGCACAGCAAAAAACCCAACCCCTGCTGCTGCACATCCAGCTGGAGGAAGAGCCTGCCAGTCCTGTCCAGGGTGAACCACCACTGATTTGGCCAAGCTGACGAGTGCCCTCCCCTGAGCAGGAGAGGCCCCTGACCACTGAGCACCTGATACTAACTCCAGGCTGGCAGAGTGGATATGTGCCCACACTTGGGGCCTGAGAAACAGCCCTGTGGCACCCACTCCAATTCCCACAGATACAGTGTTGACCTGCCCATGTTGCACCTGCAATTGGGCCTGAGAAACAGCATCATGGGTCACCCCTGGCAGATACTTATACAGGCCAACAAGCAGCTGTGCACCCATGAGCCAGACCTGAGAAGTAACCCTGTGCCCCCTCAGCCCCCCAGTGGACCCAAATCCAGGCCAGCTGAGGAAGCCATGTGACTGTGTCCTGGGTCTGAGAAAAAGCCCATGGGGTGCCCCCAGGAGACATATGCCCAGGACAGTTGAGCAGCCATGCACTTGTGTCCTGAACCTGAGAAACAGCCCCTGTGGATTGCCCTCAGAAGCCACAGCCCCATGCCAGCCAAAGAGATCTTTGTTTGTGTCCTGGGCCTGAGAAACAGCCCCATGTCCCCAACCCCAGTGAGCCTGGCACCAAGTTGGTCGATCCACCATGTGGATGCATGTGCCCCTGACCTCAGAAACAGCCTGGTGAGTTCACTTCTAGCAAAGTTGCACTACCACTGCCACAAACCTCTCAGCCTAGGCCACTGAGACTCTTGCAAATGTGGACTGCAGCTGAAGAAATGACACTACTGCATCAACCTAGAACTGAAGCTAACACACGCCACCAGACTGACACCCTAAGACCCATCTATAATGATAAATCTTTTCCTACAAAACCTACTTCATTAAATTGTAAGAGATGACTGGTCCACCAGTTGTGTAGAAATCAATGTGGAAACACATCAAACATGAAAAGTCAAGGAAACATGACACTGGAAAAAGACAACAGTAATTCTTCAGTAGCAGACCCCAATCATAGGGAAATATACGGAATGTCAGAAAAAGAATTCAAAATGATAAAGAAACTCAGGGAGATACAATTGTGTACAGATAGAAAATTCAATGAAATTGGGAAAACGATTTATGATTTGAATGAGAAATTTAACAGAGATATGTATCATAAAAAGAATCCTAGGCTCTATAAATAAAGAATCAGTGTTTGAAGAGTGAAAAAAAAAAAAAAAAAAAAGAAACAAAAGAAATTCTAGAGTTGAAAAATTCAAAGAAAGAAATTTAAAGTACAACTGAGACCTTCAAGATTAGACTAGGCCAAGAAAAAGAGAGTTCCTAAAGTTGAAGACAGAACTTTTGAAATAATTCAGGCAGATGAATAAAAAGAAACACAAAAGAGTAAGAAAGAATGAAGAAAATTTCCAGGATTTATGGGACACAATTAAGTGAACAAACATTTGCATTATGGGTATTCCAAAAGAGAAGGGAAATGGTGTAGAAAACACATTTGATGAAACAATAGCTGAAGACTTCCCAAGTCTTGGGAGAGAGAAGGGCATCCAGATCCAGGAGGCTCAAAGAACCCAAAATGGAACCTTTTTGAGGCACTGTTGGAAGTCAAATTGTCAAAAGTCAAAGACAAAGAATTCCAAAAACAGCAAGAGAAAAGCATTAAGTCACATATAAGGGAATCTCCATTAGACTAAGAACAGATTTCAAAAATATGAAAAAGTGTTTTCTATGATATCTGTTGCTGAGCAAAAAAAAAAAAAAAAAAAAAAAAAAAACAAAGCAGGAAGTTCCATTTCTGCTTAACTCTGCACCTGCTCCTGGTACAAACCCTGTGCTGGTAGTACTAAATCCTCTCTGGTGTCCTGAGCATCCCTGCAGGGAGGTTTGTGCCTGGGCTCACACTGACTTTCCCTGACTGTGTCTCTTGCACAGTAATACACGGCTGTGTCCTCGAGGGTCACAGAGTTCAGCTGCAGGGAGAACTGGTTCTTGGATGTGTCTGGGTTGATGGTTATTCGACTTTGCAGAGATGTTACATAGTTATAATACCACTTGGACCTGTAGTATGTCCTTCCCAGCCACTCAAGGCCTCTCCCTGGTGACTGCCTGATCCAGTTCCAAGTAGCACTGTTGCTAGAGACACTGTCCCCAGAGATGGCACAGGTGAGTGAGAGGGTCTGTGAGGGCCTCACCAGTCCTGGACCTGACTCCTGCAGCTGCACCTGTGACAAGACACCTGGAGATGAAAGGAAACAGAAAGTTAAACACCCCTCACTCTGTGAATGCTGCTGCGAACACTGCACCTTCCTGACACTGACCCCATGGGAGCACAGAGAGGAAGACGAGGAAGGAGGCAGACATTGTCTGGAGAGCTGTTGACTGCCCTGGTCAGCCAGAATTCAGCAGGCTCTGCAGTTCTGCGTGGGGAAGGCTGCATTTAAACAGGAAGCCACACCCTGGCATTTGCCTGTGTGCATCACTTGCTGATGTAAGGCCCTGGGAGGAAGAGGTTCACTGAAGTGCAGGGGCCCTCAGGTCTGTGACTGGGTTTCCACAAAGCCATTTCTTAAGCAGGTTGGACCCAAAGAGCAGCTCAGAGGCAGGGCTCTTGGGTGTAATGACTCTGGAATTCCAGCATTTGGCATCTTACATCAACCAAAGTCTACATACTCTTGTTAACGGATTAGAGCCCCTGCATTTATTTGCCCATTCATTCACTCATTCATGCAACAAACCCTGAGGGCCAATGATACTTAGCCCCATCCCCAGGCATGAGGAGGCATCCCTAAGACAGATGGGCCTTCCCTGTGCTCCTGGGGCCATGTGCCAGGTCCCTAGAGTAAGAAGGCTCAACACCCACCCCACCCCAGGCAGCCCCGCTGCTCTGGGAGTAAAGGGCAGGAAGACAGCATCCTGGTCCTGGAAAAGCCTGCAGTGGAAAGAGGATGGGTCTTGCTTCTGCATGGTGGGGCAGGATGGAGCCGTGAGCTTCTAAAGGGAGGCCCACAGAGCACAAGGGACAGGGCCAGATCACCCTAAACCCCCAGGCGGTGGAAATGCTGCAGGATGGGGTTGGGTGAGTGAGTGGGAGCTCTTTTTTTTTTTTTTTTTAAATACCTCAATCATGAATCTGCAAGAGTCAGGGCTAATGACAGGTGACTGTGGCACACACAGAGTCTAGGAGGGCCCGTTGCTGTCCAGTGACACTTTCTCCCTACGTGGCCCCGAAGTGTGGCACCCAGTTCCTGTAGTTCTCAGGGCCTGAGGTTCCACCGTAACTCCTCAGTACTCCCATGTGTCACCCACAGACATTGCATCTGTGTGGCGGGAACAGGGGTGCCACCACTTCTCGCCACATCCGAGGGCCACTGCAGGCTGGCTGATTTGCGGGGTTTGTGGTTCCAGGGTATGGCGGGTCATCTGCTTTCAGGAGGATGGTGGGTGGCGTGGAGCTCACCACACAGCATGGTCAGAGGGCTCAGAGCACACTGCAGAAAGGCGGCCCCCAGGGCATTCCTGGTGACTGGCTGGGGCTGTGGACACCAAAACCCTGTACTGGTGAAGAGAGCGCGGGGCAGTGAGTATGGCTGCCTCCCAGCCATGTGGGGCTGTGCCTCTGCAGGGGGCAAATCTGTGTCCTCCTGTCAGTGGTGGACCCATTGTCCTCATCCACAGCTCTCACGCCTGTTCCAGACTCACTGTAGGGTCTGACTATAGCCCCGATAGACAAAGGTTTTCCCGCCCACATTCTCAGTCTACAGCCCACTCTGAGCCCAGGGGGAGGTCCAGGCTTGCACAGGAAGGAGACACTGAGGGTCATGGTCTGGACTGTAGCCTTGGGGGCTGCCCAGGGCTGCCAGGGAGACTCAGTAGACTCCTGGGTCTCACATGCAGGGCCAGCTCCCTCCCAGGAACCCACCCTCATTTCCTTGGCGCCCGTTTCATGCACTGGGCTCTGAAGAGTTCTGGTGCAGGATCAGGAGGTGGGACAGGTCTGGACAGACAGACGGCGTGTCCTACAGGGCCCACATCGTGGGGCTTGGGAATGACGACTTGCCTTGGAGAGGGCATAGCCTCCACCCATCGCTCTTGACAGGGCCTGTGGTGTGGCTTTGGAAACTGGTAAGAATGGTGGCTGCCGTTGCTGCTGCTGCAGGAAGAGTCACGCTGAGCAGAGGCCGCAGTCCCTCTAGGAGCCATGTCCTCGAGGGTCACAGAGTTCAGCTGTTCACAGAGCCATGTCCTCTCCAACCTGATCGCACCACCCACCCAGCACCTGCACGTCCTGGAATTGCCCAGAAAGCCCACCTCAAGTTGAAAGGAAAAAGCCAAACTCTCTCTGTTCCGATATTATATGGTTGTACACAGAGAAAATCTTAAAGAATCTGCCAAAAAATTCCCCAAACAAAAACAGAGACTGTTCAAACTAAGAAAATCAAGGACATTTGAACATATAAGCACCAAACATTTAGAAAATTAATTTAGAAAGAGAAAGACTTGTGAAGACATAAAAAGCAATCAGGATATACCTATAAGAAATATAAAACAATGTGTGAGATCTTCACAGCGAAATCTGTGAAACGTTCTCAGGCTACGAGCACATGAGGAGACACACCACATGCTGGATCATGGACTGGAAAACTTAGTGTAATTAAGATGCCAGCTTTCCCTAAATAAAATCTATAGTTTACATGCAATCCAAGTCAACATAGCAATTCCATTACTGGAATTTTTCCAGGGTATATAAGTACACATGCTCCAATGATGCAACGAATGCTCAGTAATCATAAACAAATACCTTAAATGTCTTATAACATCTTTCACACAAAAGCTGCTGCACGCCTATCAGCTAATAATTCTTAAGCTTCGTTCAGACCATGCAGCCTGAGCAAAGGGATTTCTGACCTTCGGAAGTCTCAATTCTAACTGAGGACTTCACAGGAATGGGAAATGGTCCCATGGATTTGAGGGTGCGGGTGGGGAGCTTTTCCAATGGAAAGTCACTTTGTACAGAAGGTTCCCTTGTCTTAGTAAAATCACATAGTTTTGTTTTGCAGATGGGGATTACCGACTGATAAAGGCTTCCTGATGTGAGAAGTTTTTCTGCTTTATTCTCTTTCTAGGTTCCTATGTGACATGGTTTGGCTCTGTGTCCCCACCCACAGCTCATCTGGAACTGTAATTCCCATGTGTCAGGGGAGGGACCAGGTGGGAGGTGATTACAGGCGTCTGCCACTTACCCAGCTAAATTTTGCATTTTCAGTAGGGACAGGTTTTGCCACGTTGGCCAGGCTGGTCTTGAAGTCCTGACCTCAAGTGATCTGCCTGCCTCGACCTCCCACAGTGCTGGGATTACAGGTGTGAGCCACTACACCTGGGTCCCAGGCTATACTTCATGCATTTCTTAGGGTAGATAGGGAGCAGCCTTAGTCCTCAATTAAGGGGCCCAGCTGCTCAGGAGATTGCCTTCCGGAGACTGCTTCGCGCTCTACCTGTCTCAATGTCTTTCTACCTGGCTGGTAGCAACACACACTGCTTTCCTTCTGTATGCTCTGCAAGGTTTTGGTCCACAGGTTTCTGGTGATTTTCCCCCAATACTGAGTAGTTTCTTTTCATGCAGGCGTAGGTCAGTTCTCAGCCTCAAACTTGAGGGCTCTCCCTCCCCGCCACAGGTCTCCAGCTGCCACCCCCTGGCTGCACAGCAGCCTGCTCCCCAGTCTCCCCCTTCACACAGCCGATGCCTTGAACTCTGCTCTCTGTCTGCTCAGCTCACTGTGCCTTTCCCTGCATCCTGGCCGGGGCTTTCAGGCAATAGCAGGATTTGTGAGTTCGTTTTTCTTTTCTCAGGGGTTAGGATCCTTCGATGCTTGTTTTCAAATATCGGTCAACTCTTGTTTTTTTTGAGACAGAGTTTCACTCTTGTTGCCCAGGCTGGGGTGTACAGTGGTGCCATCTCTGCTCACTGCAACCTCCCCTCCCGGCTTCAAGCAATTCTCCTGTCTCAGCCTCCTGAGTAGCTGGAATTATGGGAGCCTGCCACTACCCCCGGCTAATTTTTGGTATTTTAATAGAGATGGGGTTTCACCATGTTGGCCAGGCTGGTCTGGAGCTCCTGACCTCAGGTGATCTGCCCGCCTCGGCCTCCCAAAGTGCTGGGATTACAGGTGTGAGCCACCGCGCCCAGCCTGAAAACTACCTTTTAAAGCCATTTTCACCTCAGTTCACCTCAGTTTTCTATTTGTTTAAGGAATGTGGGTAAGTGCATTTTACACCACCATGACTTAAACCAGCATTTAAAATTTTAGGTTAGAACCTGTTAAGGACAGAGTGTAAACTGATCCCAAACTCAAATGCAGGACAGTTACACGGAGTTTCTTTTTACGTGAGGTTACAGCCCTTGTGTTTTGCTCAGCGGGCGCAGGCTGAGAGCTTCCTGGGCCTTTGTGACTGTGGCCGAGGCCTCTTGCCCGGGCCACAACAGCACCGCCCCCCGCCCTGTCCCCTGCTCCCGGTGAGCAGGTAATGTCTCACAGTTCTCCTTATAATTGCAATATTTCTTTTTTTTTTAAAATTTATTTTATTACATTTTAGGTTTTGGGGTACATGTGAAGAACATGCAAGATTGTTGCATAGGCACACACGTGGCAGTGTGATCTGCTGCCTCCTTCCCCATCACCCACATGTAGCAGTTCTCCCCATGCTATCTCTCCCCAACTCCCCTCCCCCTGCTGTCTCTCCCCTATTTCCCCCCATCAGACCCCACTGTGTAGTGCTCCCCTCCCTGTGTCCATGTGTTCTCATTGTTCAACAGCCGCCTATGAGTGAGAACATGCAGTGTTTGATTTTCTGCTTTTGTGTCAGTTTGCTGAGAATGATAGTTTCCAGGTTCATCCATGTCCCTACAAAGGACACGAACTCATCTTTTTTTATAGGGTGGGGAGTGGGGGCAGACACCTCTGGGGGGAGCCAGGTCTTTGGTCGCCTTTTCCCTGAGCCAACGGCCTCTCGCTGCACCTCTCATCTTCAGAG